TGGTATCAGTTATAGCCACTATAGCTGCCATCTTGTAACATTTAAGCTACTCAACCTGAATCTGTGGTCATATCAACACGGGCTTTTCATGGCAAGAATTATAATCAATATCTTGTTCCTAAATGATAATGGTACCAATCTGATGTTAAATATGGCCACTTCATTAAAATTGGGAGGGAAGTGGTTTGTATTCTTTGTATTAAAAAGTCTGGTAGACCCTAAATATATCAGGAGATATGCCTTACATGATAAACATGACATGTCCATTCATAGGTTCGCTGCAAGTGCACAGAATTGTCTGTTACGATGCTGCATGTATTATCATATGGAAAATATAAAGGCAAAACAGCAATCTTCTGATAATAAAAAAAACTAAAGTTTATCCTAGCAATAAGGAAGAATGTTCTTATGGTTTTTATATCATGACCTTTTGTCATATGTTTTCGGATGCTCATCATGAATTTTCAGTTGCATAAATATCAAATACAAATTTTGAAATAGTTGCTAAAACATATAATTTATGCAAAGAAGAGTATACAATCTCTATGATTTATCTTTAAAATGATAGCATTTTTAATTGGAGCAACATTTACAGAGGAACTCTCCTGTGCACTTGGGCATATACGTCCCCATATAAAACTTCTCAATGCTCCAACATGTCATTTAGAATTCTGTCTCTAAAAATTGAAATCTAAGCAAAAGTTAAACTATTTTAAGATTTTGAAGTTATTTTGTGCCAAATCCAACTATTATAACTAGAGTCAGTTCTATTACTCAAGTGATGAATATTATACCACACCTGGGATGATGGATACTCTCTTTAGACCTGTTGCTTTTGACCAGATAGAAAAATTTTACCCAAAATATTAAAATTACCATGATAATGCCAGATGTCACAAAGTGCATGGTCTTGAATGGTACTGTAGAAATAACGTAAATTCATGTATTCTGGCTGTCCACTGTTAGGACGACAAGAAAAATTGTTACCACAGACCTCACTGGAGAGTTCAGTGTTTATTAGTCTGTGCTTACAATAAAAGATTATATTAGAAATATATAAATGCATAAAATGTAAAAAAATTTATAGCATTATTTCTTATTTTTTTCTTTTAATTTCAGTACAGAAAAAAATTTTATGATAAGATTGTGTGAATTTTAGGTCTTTTAGAAAGTAGTGATCTTTGTTTTACCTTAATTATTTTTCACCAGATTCCATGTAATGTTTAAGCTCATTTCATAATAAATCATAATGGAACGTAAAAATACCAGATCCCAAAACTTGTATTCCAATACTGTATATTTGACCACCCCCCTCATTTTTAGTCTCTCATTGACTGTTGCCAAAAGGACAGTTTTGACATCACAAACAGTGGAAGCTTCAAATCCTTCAACAAGGTTGAAATTTAAAAACTTAAAAGCAGTAAGTCCTAAATTTCCTATTTAATCAAGATTGAATGACCTTAACATATAGGTATGAGTATTATAAGCATTCAGAAAAACCGCCTTATCCATGTAAGGCATACTTACACAAGGGCAGGCAAGACAACAAAGCATGAAAAATAACATTGTAAAAACAAAATTTATTCCAGTTTCAGCATTTTATTCCATATGTTCCTTCACATGCGACAAATTCAATACAAATGCAAAATAAATTTGTTTCTCCAGCAATGAACTTTAATACTGTAGCCTCTAGCAAAAATTAAATTGTGCATAGCTTAAACATCAGTTAAAGTTTAATCTGCAAAGTGACTTCTAAGAAAAAAGAAAAAGTAACATCCAAAGTGTTTCTATGAACCACTATTAAAATACATTTTCTAAGCAAGATTTTTCCTGAATGAGAAAGTTATTGCTAGAAAACAACATCCTTTTCTCCCAAACTTTACAAATCATCAGTTTTTTGAAAATTCAATTCCTCTCTCTCTCTCTCTCTCTCTTACAAAAGTGACATTAAGATAGATATAAAATATGGTTTTCTCAACTTTATTTGGTGAATCTTTATAAAGTAATCTAATATATTGACACAGATTCAACAACTTTTGTCACAACTTACATTATTCTGCCTCATAAAAGACTGGTGGCCTTTGTATAAATGGCTTTAAATGACCTTACGTCAATACTGGCTGCATTTTGATGTAATATTGTTAACTAGTAGAAATTATGCCACCGGTACTTTCAATGTCCACTTTGCATTGTTCCTATTCTCAATACACAATATCACAAGCAGGAAACTTCATTTTTATTTTAGCTAGCAAGTCATGAGTTTAAAATATATAATTGGAACTGATGGGTCCTATTTCATCGACAGCTATTTGCATGTTCATTTAAACATTTACAGATAATTACATTGCCAAAATATATACATATTGTACAAGAAATAAATAGAAAAAAGAAAGAGAAAAATCATCAGACTGCAATTGTTTCACTGAGAAACGATGTCAAAGCTGGAACAAATAAGTACTTAATTAAATCCAGCTCTCAGGTAATAAAAATACAAATGTAATAACTCATCTTGGGGTTTTTTTTACGCTTAAGCCCTACCTTCATACGGTCCTATCATTCCAGTATTATATCTAAAACTGGCTTGAAACTACTAATTTGTACCTATATAACAATTAAATAGGTAGATAATAAAGTTGTCTCTGCATATTTTTGGTAAATATGATCCCTGGACTGATTATAAGAAATGATATCAACATTGAAGAAGGTGGTATAGTACATGTATCTTAATGATGTTAATCATTTTCTTGCAATTTTTGGGCTTTTATAATATTATGCTCTGATTTTTTTGTAACTTTAATTTAATTGGCACCATACAGGCATTATTGTTTCTACATGATGTTATACCTAGATACATACATTCATACATACATGCATACAGGAAATTAAGATTTAATTCATAAAGCATTAATTCAGACTAAAAAAGCTTAATGCAGCAAATGATTCTATGTCAAATCACTTATTGATTACAAATGAGAATAATTTTTTGAAAACTTTTTTTACATCATGTGCAAGGCCAATTTGCTTTTTGATTTCTCATTGTTATCCATTATAATCTGCACTTCACAACATAATTTCATTGATCACAAGAAATGCACAATATTACCATAAAGCACATGCATAATCTTACAAAATCATAATTCAAATTTCTATAAACTGTCAATTATAATAATAAATCATTTGTCAATCACTGGAAATATTTAGAGGAAGATCTTGGGTTCCAATGAAAAGCATGTGATAAGAAGAGGACAACTCATTTTCCAAAAATCTGAGGGGTTAGTGGATGCAAGCAATATGACTTAATATCACAAAAAAAACAGTAGCTGAGAAGGTGAAAAGATTTTCAACATGGCCAACATGGCATCTGTAATGGATGTCAGAGGAGTACAATTCAGAAATTTTACGACCAATGGGTACTTCTGAATGAAATTGCGTAGTTTCTTTGCAAAAATTGCACACACCATTACTATATAACACATGAAAATCTTAACTTGCATAAATTTAATCCAATTTTCAAGAACTTAACATATATACTAATAACAAGGTTAAAGGTGAAATTGAATTTTAAAATATTCAGATATCTTTAAGTTTCTTTCTTCAAGGTTTTAAAAATATTTTTCAGGTTTAAAAAACATTTTAGGTCTGTATTATCTAATTAGGTTTCCTCCAGTTTCTTAAGGATTTTGTTAGATTTCTAAGGTCAAATGAAAATTTAGGTTTTTCAAAGTTTTTATGGTCCATTTCTAACCTTGTAATAAATTCTTTGTCCAGCACTGAGAATATTTTCTGTAAGATTAAAATGATTAAAAGAATAAAAAATAAATTGGTAAATGAAGAATGCATTTTCCAAAAAACTGATCATGCTGTTGAGAAGGTGTAGAAATAAGATTCACAAGGTGGCTACCATGGCAGCCATATTACATCTGGAGGGCACAATTTGCATTTTGAGCCAACTAGATCTTGTGATAATAAGTGTACAGTTTTAGGAATCCTTCCAGTTTGTTAGAAGAAGAAACAATAACAAATTAGTACTGATGGCTGGACAGATAACAGGTCAATGCATAAGCATGTTTCAAGGATACATGACCTCAAGAGCTAAAAATCTTATTACAAGAGGTTAATATACACTCGTAAAAACAATTCTTACATGGTGAGGATTTTATAATCTCTAACACTGAATTTGTATCCTCTGAATCAGTGAGGTCCATCAAAAGCTCAGTTTCAACAGTAAATAAATTTTAAAACTGAAACAAGTACAAACCAATTATTTTCAGTAAAAGTATGAATTCCTTTATTTTGGTTGTAAAAATTGTTGCAGATTTGTGCTTTCTCTAGTGTAAGAATAAAGAAAACATTTTGTTACTTTTACAAAACCAATGGTGCAAATGTATTTTAAATTTTAAACTTACAATAGTAAAGACAATACAGGGGTCTTTGTATCAACATGTAATTTAACCTGCATAAGGTGGCATACTAACAATAAAGAGTAACCTAGAGATGACATATTGCACTTTCCAATTTGTTTTAAGAATGCACCTGAAAGCACACTGTATCATCACTCAATTTGTATACTCAAAAGGTATATATTACTTATGTTACACTTTAATTCCATGGTAACAAAATATAGTGAATGCAGTTATCAATAGGAAGTGTATATAGCTTGGTTGACAGAAGTACCAAGTCTGTTAGAAATGGTGTCCCTAGAACAGTATAAGAGTTTTGCTCTGGAAATGAAGATGCTTTTGTATGGACCAAGTGATAGTTCTATTTCTCCATCTCACACTGAAAAGTGAAAAACAGATAAAGAATGACTTTTTGCTTGTCCCTAAGTTAATTCCATTCCAAATGGCAATCAAAACAGACATTTTACCGTCTTTGATAAAATAAAATAAAATGACCTCATGATAATGCTGGCCATTATATAATATACATATGGATCCCATTGTTTTGGATTTTAACTTTGTTACTGATACTTTGTTTTCAACTTCACTTGATGTTGTACTGCTCTGGTGGCTCAGTGGTTAGAGCATCTGCCTTGGATGCAGGATGGCCAGAGTTCAAACCCTGGCTAAGTCATACCCAAAACTAATAAAAATGGTACTAGTAGCTGCCATGCTTGGTGCTGAGCATTAAGAGATTGGTGTTAGGATTGGTTGGCCTGGTGTTAAGATATGATGGTTGGGACATGATGCCCCTGTGCTGCATCACTAGAAACTGCAGACATCATAGTGATATCACTCAGATTGTTAAAATTCCAAATCACACACACACCTGATGTTTGTTTCTGGCTTAAGAGAAGCCACTTATAATGTGATTTTTAATTCTGACACCAAATGTTTGTGCTTTGTACAACAAAAAAATTTGGAGCATGTATATCAAGCCATGTTGTGATGACGCAGATGAATGATTATCTTAAAAAAATGAACATATATACTGTACTGCATCAGGGACTAGCTACGATGTCATGTCAATGTTGTAGCCTCAACTTCTTTTCTTGTGTCCACAAAAAAACAAAGGTACTAATATTAGTACTACATCAGGGACATGCATATATTTATCAATAATTTTGAATTTAAATCATTACTGTAAAAGTTAAAAAAACAATTTCAAGACAAGAATGTCAGTCAGACTGAGACTTTTAAAAAATGTTGTGTCAATAAAGAACTTATAGAAATAACAGTTATTAAACAAGTAACTGGGCTTTTAATTAAAATAATGCAGCTAAAATATATTGCATGTAAGTCAAAAAAACCCAGAGTCATTATAAACTCATTAAGTCATTTACATATGCATAGAAACATGCCTATCGATTTCAATTTGGCCGAGAGCTATCCAGGAAACAAGTGATGGATGGCTGGCCAGTAGCAGATAGCATGCTACAATGCAATGGGAGCATAAAAATTAAACAAGACCTTTGTTAGGAAAGTACCTGGATTAGGAACCAAGGTTGTTTGATTTTCCTCATCTTTCAGTGACTCTTGCATCTTGCACTACATGATATAAATAAGTGATACTGATATATTATTACAAAAATGTGCAAGTAAATAACCTAATAAAAGAAATGCTATTAAGCATACTACATGAGGGCTGTTACAGTAAAACATATATCCCCCTCCCCAGATGGCACTTCATAAAAACTTCTGTAGGAGGTTGTGTTTCAAACTATTTTGATTCTGACAGTGGAAGGTTGATTAAGAAAATCACTTCTGTTGTGGGTTAACAAAATGAGAAATCACTGGTGGGGTTGTCAGAAAAAAATGAATATATATTTAAAATCACATCTAACCTTCTCCTAATGGTCTAACACAAATATAAAGGTGGTTCTGAAAATGATGCCAGTACATGCGAGTGCACTTAATTTGTATGAATTCGCATACTTTTAGAGCAGTAACATGCATTCTGCAAATTATGTCAACATTACGGATGTAAAGTGTGCTTTACGCATTATGCAATTTTTATTCAACTTTCAACTTTAAAAGTGCATTTTGCGACATTATTCACACTGCCAGTAGCATTGTAGCGGCACTTGATGTAACAATATTCAGGATGTCAAACATTAAAATAGCTGGATTATTCTGTTCAACATGAATGACTGTTAAACCAACTTTGATTGATTCATTGGCCCTGGTACAAGCATTTATGGGAGTTTTAACCTTACTTTCATTATGTTAGTTTTACAAATGCGTGTTTCAAATAAGGGCCACACAGGAAAACAAAAAGGCTGAATCACAACAGGGTTTGTTGTCAGATGATGTTATCAGTAGTCAAATACTGGCAATGTGAAGAATCATAAAATAGAAACAAACTACAAATAAACAAACAGAATATCAACAATATTATAGTGAAAATACTAAGGGAAAAGATAACTAGTAAACACAACTCAGAAGAAAAACAATGGGAACAGAATTTGTACAGCAAGTCTTTAACTTTGAGTTTTGTGCAGAAACATGGAATCCAAGAAAAGAATACATTCAAACTGTAGAGGTTTTCTATCTTGGATTTAGTCTCCTTATTGCATTTAACATTGATATGCATATTCATAAACAGTATAGTAGTAGGAAAAGTAAGTGACAAATTTAGATACATATCATAAATGGGACAAACAGTATGTGGGGGGGACAAGATTATAAAAACAGGGTGGAATGGAGAAGTATAATAACAACAGTAATGAGTAGAAGTGTGCATCATTTTTGATGTGTGCAACATTATTTTCTCAGCTGCAGTAAGAAATTACATCAAAGGGAAAACAATAAACGGTATACAGTAAACTAAACTACATGAATTTAGCTACTGAAATCGATTTTAAATGTCTGGTTATATCTTTCAGTCTTTTTCTGTCCATTCTGGTGATTATGTCCACTGATACAGTATGATTGGAAAACAATCTGGGAAATTTAAAGATTGAAAATTCTTTTGGCAGATTATGATTATACACTTCAGCCTGAGAGATGTGAATTATATCATTTCTAGATTTGTTGATTCTGGTTGTGGCTCAGTTCAAATGCATCATTGAAAAACACTGATGCATTCTCATACTTTTGTTACAAATATTTATTACAGATTCACATCTCCCCATATCAGTGAATATAACTTGAATAAGTTATAACAGTTCTGGTTGGAACAATGTAAACTTAAGAGAAACTACTTGTGAGCTAAAATATAAATTCTTTTGGCAGCATGTGATGCAGGATTGCTCAAGACTTCTCCATCTCATATGTTTACCATGACAATTCCATTTGTACCAACTGATAATGGCTTTTAGGTAACTGTCAGAAAGGCATAATTGAAAATATTCAAAGGTCTACAACAATTACTAGAGTCAAAGTTTATAAATTCACAGCTGTGGCAAGAATGATCTGTGAGATATGCAAGTGATCTGTAAAACAAGTACCTTAGTACACTTGAGCCTCTGTTGATTTGATGTTTATCTCAACAGCCGAAGTCATTTAGACACTTAGATATCAGGTTTTGATAGATCATTATTGCCTTTACACCATTTTCAGATGAAGAGAATCTATATATGGCAGCCAATTTTACTGCTGAAGAAAATCCAAATACTTTTGAAACACCAAACACCACTTATGTAGAAGCACTGACCTTCCACAAATAACTAGCAACATTCTCATTTACACATTGGAGGCAAGTAATCACATGACAAACATCCTGTACCACTCTGACTTAGAAGCCCCCCCCCCGATCTGTATCACATGACAAGCAGCTTATACTCTACCATAAAAGCCCCTCAGACCATATGTATAAGTTTGTATGAAAGACTAGAAGTGGGAGATAGAACCTGTGACAACTGGATTAAAAGTGCAGAATGTTACTGCTAGACCATCAGTGATGATGATGATGCTGTTGACAATACAGTTAACTGCAATGACACTGATTTTATAAAAACTCTTAGAAAAAATTATTCCTTGACTTCCATCCATTTTTAAAACTATAATTTATGATATAAAAATGTTTGACTTTATTTCTTTTTTAAAAAAACTTTATATTTGTCTTGCAACATGGCATAAAAATAAGATGTTGGTAAGTAAAATATATATTTTTAGTGGTTGTCCATAAACAACATCTGCAGATAATACCTGTTTTCTTACACTCCTCTCCCCTTGTCCACTTTTGTTCGCATGTGGCTTACCCTCCCGCACCCTGGCTGTGGACATCCCCATCTAGCAGGGCTGATATGTGGGTCATGTAATCAACTTCAGGAACTGGGGACTAGACCTCTGTATTAATGCCAACCCATTCATATATATTCTTTGGCACAAATTGAGATTAACAAATAATTTATACTTGGGTATAACCCATAAAAGACAGCCGCAAAACATATTGGAATACATGCGGTAGGCATAAAGCAGCTGTTCAACAGAGAATATTAAAAGATGTCCGCATGGTCATTTAAACCCCCTACCCTTGTCCACATCTGAACACCCTCTATCCCCATCTTTGCAGATTTCCTTAATGGATGATCCCTTCCAAGGAACGATATAGTGTAAAAGTAGGCAGAAATAATGTGACATCACTTTCACAGGCATTAATGATTTTTTCTAACAAATCATTTATTATAAGTTTACCAAAACATTTATTGAAAAAAAAATAAGGGAATCATAGCATCTGACCACCCATTTAAAGCAATACAAGATTTAACTATTATTCTCATCAAAAGCAGCATACCTGAGAACAAAGTAAAATAGCAAAACATAGTGATCACTTTAGTAAACACACAGTTTAGTATGGATACAACTTCATGATTTCTGAATTAGAATAGAAATCCCTAATGTAAAATCTATATTCATGGACATTAAATTAGTAGTTAAGGGGCTGATCAATGACATCTATAAATAATAAGCCACCAAGAAAATTTGTGATTTCACAGTGTCAGAGACATACATGGCTGACAGACAAACAAACAAAAGGACAAAAGATTGATTATAATGAATGAATACGTCAAATAAAAAAATGCAATAGATTATATGATCTGTAAGAATTTAGTAGATTACCTCCAGCCAGCTGTCATTTAAAGTGGACAAAAATCCCAACCTGCACAATTTGATTGTAAATACAAGGATATGTAGTAGTTTGTGTATATAATCTATATATCCTGAGTATTTTTTTTCTTTGCATCTATTGTATTTGAACAAACATTTAATAATAAATATGGTGCTGAATTCCGAGATCAAATGCAGGGCTCGAAATTAGTGGTAGTCCACTAGCCCAAGGCTAGTAGATTTCCTGTCAGACTAGTAACTTTCATAATGTTAATAGCCCGATGGGCTAGTAAGTTTCGGTTATCGAAAGTTAACGTTTGTTTAAGCCATTTTAAAAACTTGACTTCAACAGACGTCACGTAGAATCAAAGCAGTAGCCGTTGTCAACACAGTCATAAAATATTAGCACGAGAAGATGAAGTCAATATCTGCCTCAGAAGGGTGCGTTTCTATAACAATAAGCCATCAAATTTGTGCATTCGCTTAACAGTGCCAATTATTTTACCGTCATTAACAACGGAAGTTAGGTAATCGATCCTGATTAATCTGATGATTAAATTAAAAATGACATGTTATAATTAA